ACCCATTTAAGCCGTCTCCAGCCATTATTAGTCTCAAAGTGGGTTCCTCGTCATCGAATTCGCACTTGTCACTAACTTATACCAGCTTGAGGGAATTCCACCCCTTTTCAGTAACCATTCATTGAAAGACACATCATAATTGTCTTAGTATTTAATCTATTTGATTGTGGGGTCTACTTTACAAGTTCTCTGCTTTTGTGTTCTGATCCATTTTGAAAGTTAAATGAATTATTTTTTAGACAGCCAAATTTATAAAAAATAACAAGGCTTGTGCTTATGTAAAAATCAGGTGAAACATCTAATGGGCTCATACTGTGATTTATTAATTTTAACAGAGGAGAAAACCAATACTGTGAAAAGGTTAACAGTTGAATCTGTGAATATAAGTAATACGAAAAACTGAAAATATACACTGATAAATTTGCAACAGTTAGTGTTAGGGTAGATAAGAGATAACAATATAATGTTTTACCAAAAAGATACTTTGATATACATTTGTGATGTCCTAGAAGTTATGCAAATGAAATTGTAAGGTGAAGAGAAGTATTTTACTCTTTGCATGAAATACAACATTTCACTAAGATTGACTTTGTACATTTACAAACAAATGTTTACTAAAAGCTTCTCAAATTTCATGAAGAAACATGCAGTAAATTAAGAATTGTTTAACAGGTGTCCTATAAATATGACCTTAAAAATGGATATTCATGTATAGTTGAGGGTCTGTGAATATTGTCAAAAAGTGTAGTTTAAGATTAAACCTCTTGAAAATTGGGTACTCCAGAAACAACAGGTGGATGAGGAGATTGACTGTGGTAACAACAGTGGTGGATGTCATTTTGACTGATGAGCAGGAAGAGACTGGTAGAATATATCCAGCTGATTGTGAAAGAAGGCACGTGCAAGCACAGTAAGGGTTGCTCTGATGAATTGGCCAAGACGTCAATGATGACCTCCCAATCATAGTGACAGGGACTAATAGTTTGATCAGCAGTTACAGCAAGATAACCACTCTGGACGCTGAAGTGTGGCCTCAGCCTCTTTATCAAAGTTGCTAAACTCAGACCCTCCAGTGATCATGAGACAACAGACTAATCAATGTCACTTTTGTCATTTGGACAGATGTACAAGTACCACCTCACATCATAAGGATGTAGTACACCACTATGAAGAAAATGCAAAAGATACTGGACCCAAGTAGTGTCTTCAAAAACTTGCATAACTGTAAGCACAGAAAAGCATCCAAATCATCAGTTGACCAATGTAACTTGGAGCTTCCCTTCATGTCCCCAAAAGAAGTTTTGTAAGAAATGGATCTCACACCACTGCAGAATGAAAATAGCATTTGCAGTCACAACCCGTGCAGAGAACAGAAGGTTAACCTATACTCCAAAAGGCTGAAGACTAATGACACAAATTGGCAAAAACCTAACCTGTACTCCAGAAGGCTGAAGATTAGTGATGTAGATGTACAGAAGCCTAAACTGTATTCCAGAACACTGGAGACTAGTCACAAAGATGAACAGAAACCTAAGCTGTACTCCAGAAGACTGACAACTAATGACACAGATAGAGAGAAGCAAAGGCTGTACCCCAGAATGCTGAAGACTAGTGGCATAGATGGGCAGAAACCTAGGCTGTACTCCAGAAAGCTCAAGACCAATGACACAGATGGATTAAAGCATGACTTGTACTCCAAATGGTTGAAGACTAATGACACAGACTAAAGACTAAAAGAACATATGGTCAGAGGCTGAAATACATCTACTGACCCAACAGAATGCTTATTTGAAGGACTTAGCCAGGGCAAAAGATACTCTGTAAAGAGTAGCAGCAGAGAAGGTGAAATGAAGATTTATATAATATATTTGAAAGCTTTAATTATTATTTTACTCTCACACACATATAAATACCAACTTCTTTTGTATAATTATATTTTAGTACTTTTTTCTTGTATACCTATATTTTGTTGTATTTCATACTTGCTCAATTTACATTAAAAAATTGTATTTGTCTAATATTTTGTGTATCATCTTCAATGTATATTTAAAATTTAAATGATATTTAATTTACAATTTTAAAAATAAAAATGTACATTTTCTCCCAAAACTCAACCTCAACTTGAGTAAAAATACTTTATTTGCAATATACTTTTACAACAAATAAAAAATTAACTTTCTATACATACAACTTTTATTTCATAACCTGTTGATACATATTCATCCCAGAGGGTAACTAAACATTAAAACTTTCACTACTTAAAACAGTATAAAATATAGTTTTAAGGCAAAAAATGTTAACTATTCATACAAGCGTTGAAAAGTCTATAATCAGACGCTCTTCTACGAAGATTAATTAACAAATTTATGTTTAATTTCCTTTTGTCAATGAAAGCAAAACAAAACCAATGATAAACTAATCTTGAACATCAGACTCCGATGATGACTGGTTAAAACCTAATTTTTGCTTCAGTAATAGCAGCTGTTGTTCATTTCCATTTTTCCTGTAAGTAAACATACATTATAAAACACAAACAGTATCATTGTTATCTTCCGGTTTTTGTTTCCAGATTTGATAATACTTTTATTTTAAACAAGTCTATTATAATTAATAATTTCATTTACTCTTACATTTCAGAATTGTAGCAAATTTCTTTGATATCCTTTTTGAAATATTCAAGTTACAAGATGATGTATTTAACACATCTCTGAAAATACTTGGAAAGCGCGGGTAACAAGATTACTGAATCTTTGCACTGAACTTTGTTTTGAAGCAAAACAATTCATCTACAACATTTGAACAAACGAACACTTCACTATGACAATATAAATTGATAAAGTTTTTGTTGGACTGCAAAGTATTACCAAAGACAAATTGTAAAAATTAAACTGATGAATTAATTACTCAAAAATGGATATAAAAATTTTTGTTGAAAACCAACATTAATAATTTCATCTTATATGCTACGGATTCTGATATTTTATTGAAAAATAGTTGAAAATTGTGAAGACCCAGTTTCTCTGCTTATTAGTCACTTATGTCTATAAAATAGAAAAAAAAATGTTCACATTAATAAATAGTGTTAAAAATGGATATTTCCTTTGCCCAATGGCATAAAACATCCTGAAATTTGTATCTTAGTCTACAACTACTATCCAGTACAATACAACCTTATACACATATAGGTTTTATGTTAAGAAGTTTTGGAGTGCATATAGAAGTTTTGTGATGTATGACATGTGATTCACTTAAAAGCCCATTGCTGCAAGGCTTGAATGGGGGAATTAAGTGTCTCTAATAAAAATCAAAGCATAGCATTATTGGTTTAAAGTAACATCTCAAAAATTAGTACCACCAAAAGATTATTATTATTAATAACTTAAAACTCACAGTTAGTATTGCATTTTGACTTACTATTAAAATCAGAATAAGAAACTAACAAATAACTTTGGGGACCATAGTAAGTAAGAACATTAAATATTTGAAAGAGCTTTAATTTTCAGGGTAATGCCTTAAGATTTTTCTTTTCTTTTCATCAATATCAAGGATTTATATGAAACAAGTATTCTATGATAAACAAATTAAGTTCATTGTAACAAATCAGAATATATATGTTTTTTCATTTCAATAAAAAATAGAAGTGTGTGAAAATTAATTCACAAATTTGAACAATTCCCAAGTCCTTCTTAGATGGTGTTTGTATCTATAGGTGCTAATTAATATACATGTAAGCAATGTATATTTTTACCAGTAACCTAATAAAAGTATTATATATAGATACTTTGAATATGCATTAGCCTGATGACGATAACTAATAAATTTGGGGTTCATGCTACTGTGAATTTGGTACATATCAACCTGTGGCAAGTGTGGTTCTGCTTGCATAAAATGTGTGCATATGTGTAAAATGCAGTTATATATATATATAATTATTATACTTTACAAAAATGCTTTCTTGGTACCCACTTAATTAACAAACAATATGAAGTTCTGAAAGAGTTCTTTTTGATATAATAGATTTATTTCTGTACAATGTTTCATCTCCAACAGTGAGACAATTTGAATGTACTTGTAATTTAAATGTTGCATGTGATCATGCTTCACTGTAAGAGATAAAATGTTGTACAGAATAATCTATAATAAGCCTAATATACAGTTACTGACCTGTACATTAAAATGCCCAATTATTCAGTTTTGTATTTATACTTTCTATAAAATCTCTATGATTATATTTTGCTGGAATTAAAATTATTTTTTTAATGTAAAGTTTTACTGATGCAAGATAAAATAGAATAAGGTAAAATGACACAGACCATCCAGTCAGAAGTTTGTAACCCTTTTCTAAGATTTGACAGAAAACGGTGATGAGTTCCAAATATCAGATCATATTTGTGAATAACCTGTCCAGAGATTCTACACTTTTATATATTCTGAACAATCATGTTTTCAATACATCACGAATAATAGTCTATCACATATGTGAACAGGTTAAACTGCCCATTGTTTTTTTTTTGCATCACATATGCTCTAGTAAATCACATTTTCAGTTTTATAAGTACCGTGGAAGATGTCATTGCAATGTGTATAGATATATATATTAGGTCATCACGAAATTAATGTCACATTTTGAAAGAGTTTCATTAACCAACTCCCAAAAAACGTACATCATGAATAATAGTTAAACGAACTGCCTAAACGTCATATTAGTGTAGCCTATATAATGTGTAAAGTTTAGTA